AATGGAATTGATAGAAACTGCAAAACACAGCTTTTACAGCATACCTCTAACAATACGTGCTCGACCTCTGGGAAGATAACTCGATCTCGACCGGCAACAATGCTTCCATTCCATAAGTTAAACTGAACGGGGTCTCTCCTGTAGTCGACCTTGGGGTCGTGCGATACGCCCAAAGTACGGAGCTCAGCTCATCGACCCATGCTCCCGAGGCCTTCTCTAATTTTGTCTTCAGCCCATTCAGTATAATTCGATTAGTTACCTCGACCTGGCCATTAGCTTGCGGATGCGCCACAGAGGCAAAGTGTTGTTCAATTTTCATATTTTCACACCATGTTCGAATCCGCTTCCCATTGAACTGGGTGCCGTTATCAGAAATCAACACTTTGGGTACACCAAACCGGCAGCAAATGTCATTGTATATGAATTTAATTACTTTCTCCTCTGTAATCTTCGCCAAGGGCTCAGCCTCCACCCATTTCGTGAAATAATCGACCGCCACTATTAAGAACTTCCTCTGCCCGGTCCCCTGAGGCATCGGCCCCACCAGGTCGATACCCCACTGGGCGAATGGTATAGGAGCACTCATTGTCGTCATGGCTTCGGCCAGTTGGTGGATAAGGTGGCCGTGCTTTTGGCATTGTAAGCACTTCTTCACCATCATCTTCGCATCTTCCCTCATCGTTGGCCAAAAATATCTTGCCCTCAAAATTTTTGCAATCAAGGCTCCCGACTTACTATGGTCGCTGCAACACCCTTCGTGCATCTCCCTCAACACATATCGACCCTCTTCCTTAGTAACACAGCGTAGATGTGGTCCTCTATAAGATTGCTTGTAAAGAATGTCTCCATGCTCAAAAAATCTCCTAACCACCTTTATCGCTCCTCCCCTCAGCTCCTCCAAGATCGGGGCCCTCCAATCTTCCACTTCTTCGATCTCCGCCACTTCTGCTTCAATCACACTCTTTTCAAGATGCAACAGAGTGACACTTCTACTCTTGCAATCGACCAAGCTCTGAGCAATCTTCGACAATAGGTCTGCTCGACCATTCTCTCCTCGAGGAATTTGTATTAGCTCGAACGAGTCAAACTCCTCTCTCAGCTTCTTCATCTCATCCACATATTTCTGCATCTGATCCTCCTTGACTTCAAACCCTTCTTGAAACTGCCCAACCACCAGTTGAGAATCGGAATGCACTCGCAATTTTCGAGCTCCTCCTTCTTTGGCTAGGCTCAAGCTCTTAATCACTGCCTCGTACTCAGCTTCATTATTGGATATTTTGAACCCCACTTTAGCCGCAAATTCCTAGTAATCACCTTTTGGAGAGACAAGAACAATTCCCAATCCTGCCCCGCTTCGGGCCACAGATCCATCTACAAACAACTGCCATAATCCCTCTGACTCCTCCTCGACTTTCGTGCCCTCCTGGATAAAATCAGCCAACACCTGTGCTTTTATGGCTCTCCTTGGCTCGTACGTCAGAGAATATTCACTCAGTTCAACCGCCCACTTCACCAATCGACCAGAGACTGATGGCCGGCCAAGTGTTTCTCCCAGTGGCATATTCGTCCGCACCTTCACCTTGTGATTCAAGAAATAAGGTCTTAACTTTCGAGCAGTTACAACCACAGCTAAAGCACACTTCTCGATCTCCGAATACCTTGTCTCGGCCCCCTGCATCACTCTACTCACGTAATAGATAGGGAATTGCGTTATTCCTTCCTCTCGCAACAACACCGAACTCACAGCCCTCTCTCCAATAGAAATGTATAGCACCAATTCTTCGCCCTGCATGGGCTTAGCCAACAATAGAAGGTTGGCCAACACCCCTCGCAACTCCTCAAATGCCTTCTGTGCCCCCTCTGTCCACTGGAATTTCGCACTCTTCTTCAACGTTTTAAATAATGGGCCGCTCTTCTCCGCCACCTTTGATATGAAACGACTGAGCCCCGCTATTCGACCAGCCAAGATCTGCACTTCTTTAACATTCGTCGGTGACTTCATCTCCATCACGGCTTGAACCTTCTCCGGATTGACTTTGATACCTCTCTTGGTCACCAAGTAACCCAAGAATTTTTCGGACCTCACCCCAAAAGAGCATTTAGCCGGATTCAGCTTCATCCCGTACCTTCGTAATGTTAGGAACGTTTCTTTCAAATCTCTTACGTGATCCAACTCCTCCTTACTTTTCACCAACATATCATCCACGTATACTTCCATGTTCCTCCCCAGTTGCTCCTTGAAGATTTTATCGACCAACCTTTGATACGTGGCGCCCGCGTTTTTCAGGCCGAACGGCATGACCACGTAACAATAGGTCCCCCGACTCGTTACGAAACTCACCCGCTTCCAGTCCTCTCTCGCCAAGGGGATTTGATGGTATCCCTGGGAGGCATCCATCAGGCTCAACAACTCGCACCCTGCCGTTGAGTCGACCAACTGGTCAATTCTGGGCAGTAGATATAAGTCCTTCGGGCATGCTTTGTTCAAATCGCGGAAATCAATACACATCCTCCACTTCCCCTCCGCCTTTGACACCATCACCGTGTTTGACAGCCATTCGGGGAACTGAATCTCTTTAATGTGTCGCGATCCCAACAGTTTCTCGACCTCCTGCTCGATGATCTTATCCATCTCCGCACCATAGTGTCTTCTTTTCTGCTTCACCGGCCTCACGCTGAGGTCGATGTTTAGCCGATGCTCGATCACCTCCGCACTTATTCCCGTTAACTCTTCAGCTATATAGGCAAAAATATCAGCGAACTCCCTAACCAACTGAATCAGCCTCGACCGAATAGGCTCTTCCATATTCCTTCCAATCCTAAACTTTCTCCCTTCACACCCTTCGATCATTTGAATCTCCTCGACTTCTTCCCCAGGTTGGATATCCATTTTCTCCTTTCCTTTTTCCACTCTCCGCTTATCCTCCTTTGACCTCGATCCTCCTGGTTGATTAATCTCCTCCCTTTCGACTCGACCTGCCTCTTCGCCAACTGCTTGTTATTGCTGACCGTTATTTGGTAGCAACTCCTCTAAGTGAGCTGATCCCCGGCAATCTCCCCTACGTTTTCGCCCACCAGATATTTGATCGTCATGTGGTACGTGGATACGACCGCCTGGAACGCATTCAAACTCGTCCGCCCCATGATGATGTTATAAGATGACTCAGCCCCTACAACCACAAATCTCACCATGCGCACCTTCCTCAACTTTCCTGTTCCCAATGCCACGGGCAAACTGACCTCTCCCATCGGCATGACCTATCCCCCATTAAAGCCGTAAAGTGTCGTGGTCACCAGCTTTAACTCCATACTCAGCTCCTTATTAATCTGCACAGAACAGTCATAGAACATCACATCCACCGAGCTTCCTGTGTCAATGAAGACCCTCTTTACATCAAATCCTGCAACCTCCGGGGTTATCACCAGAGCATCGTTATGCGGTAAGACCACCCCCTCGGCATCCTCCGCCTTAAAACTTATCACTGGCATGCGGG